ATCTCGAGTGTTAAATAACTTGACTATCGTTTAAACGAGGAAGAAGTTGTTTGCATCGTTAAATTTCTCTTTAAGAGTTCTATAAACTGTCCACACAAACAAAACATAAAAAATATTTGTGAAGCTTCCTATCTTTCCTACGGAAATAAAATCCCAATAAAAAAGATTTCCTACATTTCCTATTTCTCTTCTAACAGCTATATATCCGATATAATCCATCTACCTGCTAAACGTGGCAAGCTACCGCCTTTCCTGACGGTTTCCATATAACGTCTGTCTCCGCTATCGCAATATACAAATCCTTCTTAAGACAAAAACACGTGAATAGAACGGATTCTTATATTGATGGCGTCACTATTGCATTTATTTGATATATCTAGAGCACATCTACGAATACGTATAAGAATTTTTCTTGTAAAAAAGGGACGATATCGAATTTAAATAGCAATTTATTAGACAGGTTACAAAACCGGAAATATTTGAGGCGTATGCATTGAGAATTACTCCACGAGGCAGTCTTGAAATATACGAGGTGTTTTTTTTAATACGACATTCCTGGAGTGATGGTACTATCGTCCCCCGAAGAGTGTGCGGTTTGTCCAAAGTCAAGCTTTCTAGTTTGAACATGTTTTGACATCTCTTGTAGGCGCAATTATACAAAGAAAAATTTTCTCCATACTTTCCAAATGTTGAGTACGTTTTTATTGATGATGGGGTTTCATCATTATTTTCGGTATCGTCCATGTCTAGAACGGTGTTTTTTAAATTATCTGGGCTTTGCGAGTTTTCGTTTTCGTTTCGAAGATTCTCCAAACTTTCTTTTCGATCGCTTCTAATTCTAGACTTGCAATGTTTCGGAGCCTTCTGTTGAATAGCAGACACTTTTCTGCGAACTTTCTAGTTCTTCATCATTTTGAATGTAGTATTCTCCATACTTTTTATTGCTGTGCCGTCGTCGCTGGCAGCGGTCTCAGCAGCATTCTCCAAACTTTCTTCAGCTTTCAACATACTTTCGTACCAACTTTTATTTTGTGTTTTCTGGTTTGTTGAGTGATCAGTGTATTCATAAAGTGCGCCTGTTGCAGCTTTATGTCTTTGGAATGTTTGAAGTTTATCTAACTCAATTTCTTGTCTCACTGACAATCCAAGTTCTTTCTTCGAACTTTTTCTTTGAAAATTTTTTGATAAAGGGTCTCTTCTGTATTTATCTGATCCCAGGTTAGCAATGATGTTAGCTGAGTTCTCTTTTATAGGGCTGAAGTGATTTGGCCTTCAGTATCTTCGAGCTGCTGTTTGATGCACATTTTCTTGTCAGATTCTTAGAGTTTATTCTTTCTCTGAGTCTTTTGGAGTAGACCGTTTCGTACTCGGCTCTGATAGGTCTGGAGGGCTCCGATACTTACCTTGGAACACTCCCAACGGTAGGGTTAATACTTATCTGACGTAAAAAAGAAAAATTGAAAATTACAAAGTTAATATCATACAGTGAAAATTGAAAAATGACGTATGCGCGTGAAAAATTTTTCACGGATCTCAGTGTAATCCTAGGAGAGTCTTAGGTAAACTAAGTCCTCAACTGGGGCCTTGGCGGTTGGCTTACCAATCAGTCTTCCGTCGGACTAAATCACATAAATATCCAGTCTGTGTGAAGTGCTATTCGACACTTACTATGTACTCCATGTAAAAGCGGTGCTGCCATATCTACAGATCCTTATAATTTTTCCCCAAATCTAGGGAAATATTTTGGAAAGTGGCTTTTTAACTACTTACCACCAAAAGAAAGTGTTTTTGACCAATACCCCGCACGATTTACACATAGTTGCAACGGTCCTGCTTCTAATAAAATTTTCAAAACTTAAGCTTTAGAAAACCACCAATTTTTTTTTTTAAATTACACTTCTTTTATGTTTTTATCGTATTATTTTTTGAGTGATGAAGATTAGTAAGTATTATTTATTTTTTTATTATTTTTTTTTTTACTTTTATATTTCTTTTAATATTAGTTTATATTCCAAAAATTTAGGATATCACAAAGTAACGTAATTAAAATGAAATACATATTAAGTGTATGTAAGACGAGTATTTTTTAATTATAATTTTTTTATTTTTAGTTTTTTGTTTTTAGATCCCAATAAATAGCTAGACGTAATTTAAATGTATCCAAAAGAAAAACTGCTATAAAATGTTATGTTGAATTAGGTGGGTAAGACGTGTTTAAAACGTTATTTTTTTTGTATATAATTTTTTATATTTTAAACGCAATTTTTTAAAATATACTTTTAATATTCAATGATTTTTTTACGGATTTTTTAAATTTTTAATTCATATTGTTTAGATACTGAAAAACTGACTCAAATAATATTATTTTGCGTAATTTGAAATTTAAGATATATTTATATTTACGTACAGTTGCCTACAGTTGCGTACAATTGCGTAGAGTTGCGTATATTTGCGTACAGTTGCGTCAAAGTGATGTAATCGAAAGTATTTTATAGTCATCACCATATTGTAAATTTGTTTGCAGAATTTGAAACCAGATGCTTAACGATTTATAATTTGTTGGTTAGGTTAGGTTAAGTTAGGTTAAGTTAGGTTAAGTTAGGTTAAGTTAGGTTAAGTTAGATTAGGTTAGGTTAGGTTAGGTTAGGTTAGGTTAGGTTAGGTTAGGTTAGGTTAGGTTAGGTTAGGTTAGGTTAGGTTAGGTTAGGTTAGGTTAGGTTAGGTTAGGTTAGGTTAGGTTAGGTTAGGTTAGGTTAGGTTAGGTTAGGTTAGGTTAGGTTGGGTTAGGTTAGGTTAGATTGGGTTAGGTTAGTCCATATTTATAAATAGAACTCAAATGAGTCTGACTCAGATGAGTTCGTTTTGAAACAAATATCAAAATTCGATTATAACTGACCTACAGTTCCAGTGTTACAATAAAATTTTGACAGAATTGTTACTGCCCATGTCCAAATACTCGCAATATATCCAATCAGTAAAGGAGCAACAAGAGTTCTAGCGCAAACCTTATGTAAATTAACATGGGAAATCGCTAAGGTTCATTTTGGCAATTTTTGTCCATATCAAGGTCACTCGTCTTGACGTCACGTGTCATGACGTCACCAACCAACTGTTGCCAACCTGACCTAACCTATCCAGAAATGATCTGAAACTGATCCCAAACTAATGCGGAACTGATCCGGAACTGATCCGAAACCGTTTTAGAACTGATCCGGATCAGTTCGGGAACAGTGCCGGATCAGTTCCGGGTGAGTTCGTACATGTGCGTACAGTTGTGTATAGTTGCTTACAGTTGCGTACAATTGCGTAGAGTTGCGTATATTTGTGTACAGTTGCGTCATAGTGATGTGATCGAAAGTATTTTATAGTCATCACCATATTGTAAATTTGTTTGCGGAATTTGAAACCAGATGCTTAACGATTTATAATTTGTTGGTTAGGTTAGGTTAGGTTAGGTTAGGTTAGGTTAGGTTAGGTTAGGTTAGGTTAGGTTAGGTTAGGTTAGGTTAGGTTAGGTTAGGTTAGGTTAGGTTAGGTTAGGTTAAGTTAAGTTAGGTTAGGTTAGGTTAGGTTAGGTTAAGTTAGGTTAGGTTAGATTGGGTTAGGTTAGTCCATATTTATAAATAGAACTCAAATGAGTCTGACTCAGATGAGTCTGACTCAGATTAGTTCGTTTTGAAACAAATATCAAAATTCGATTATAACTGACCTACAGTTCCAGTGTAACAATAAAATTTTGACAGAATTGTTACTGCCCATGTCCAAATACTCGCAATATTTCCAATCAGTAAAGGAGCAACAAGAGTTCTAGCGCAAACCTTATGTAAATTAACATGGGAAATCGCTAAGGTTCATTCTGGCAATTTTTGTCCATATCAAGGTCACTCGTCTTGACGTCACGTGTCATGACGTCACCAACCAACTGTTGCCAACTTGACCAGAACTGATCCCAAACTAATGCGGAACTGATCCGAAACCGTTTTAGAACTGATCCGGATCAGTTCGGGAACCGTACCGGATCAGTTCCGGGTGAGTTCGTACATGTGCGTACAGTTGCGTACAGTTGTGTATAGTTGCTTACAGTTGCGTACAATTGTGTAGAGTTTCGTATATTTGCGTATAGTTGCGTACAATTGTGTAGAGTTGCGTATAGTTGCGACAAAGTGATGTGATCAAAAGTATTTTATAGTCATCACCATATTGTAAATTTGTTTACGGAATTTGAAACCAGATGCTTAACGATTTATAATTTGTAGGTTAGGTTAGATTAGGTAAGGATAGGTTAGGTTAGTCCATATTTATAAATAGAACTCAAATGAGTCTGACTCAGATGAGTTCGTTTTGAAACAAATATCAAAATTCGATTATAACTGACCTACAGTTCCAGTGTTGCATTAAAATGTGTAAAGTATATTGACAGAATTGTTACTGCCCATCTCCAAATACTCGCAATATATCCAATCAGTAAAGGGGCAACAAGAGTTCTAGCGCAAACCTTATGTAAATTAACATGGGAAATCGCTAAGTTTCATTTTGGCAATTTTTGTCCATATCAAGGTCACTCGTCTTGACGTGTCACGTGTCATGACGTCACCAACCAACTGTTGCCAACCTGATCTAACCTATCCAGAACTGATCTGGAACTGATCCGGAACTGATCTGGAACTGATGCGGAACTGATCCGGATCAGTTCGGGAACAGTTCCGGATCAGTTCCGGGTGAGTTCGAGATCAGTTCCGGATCAATTTGGGATTAGTTCCAGATTAGTTCCGGATCAGTTCCAGATCAGTTCTGGTTAGGTTAGGTCAGGTTGGCAACAGTTGGCTGGTGACGTTAAGACGAGTAACCTAAGGTTTGCGCTAGAACTCTTGTTGCTCCTCTACTCCAATCAAACTTCGATTTTTATTCTAGAACGAATTCACCTGGGTCAGACTCACTTGTGTCCAAAAATCTAACCCCACACTTATACACTGTGTATTCAATAAACCTTCTGTTTTCAGGCCACAACAGCGCTGTCAACGTTTACGTCAACTTGAAAGGTCGAAGTTCGACTCGATCATCTTGCAGAAACTCCTTCTGTCCCTACTCTAGCAGGCAACAGCTGCAACAGAACTGGTCCCAGGATTCAAGCAGTCCAATTATAGGTTCTAGAAAACTAACCACAGGTCTAAGGAAGTCAAACGCGGAACGCAGCTTGTTGAACAAACGAAGAGTCATCAAAATGCTGTTCGCAGTCGTTTTGGAGTTCTTCATTTGTTGGACGCCATTGTATGTGATCAATACCATAGCGTTATTTGATAAGAACATCGTTTATAACAGTATCGGGTATACTGGAATTAGTTTCTTCCAATTGTTAGCGTATAGTTCAAGTTGTTGCAATCCTATTACGTATTGTTTCATGAATTTCGGATTCAGGAAATCGTTTTTGAGTCTGTTCAGGTGCTCTAAAAGGTTCAAAAGTGCCGGTTTGAACGGTAGCGAGATCAACATGGAAACCAAATGGACTAATAGATTGAGCGAGCCCGCCTGATGACAGTGTTCGACTAGTACGAATATTTGAAAAGTTATACGGTCTGCTAATAAAGGTGAATCTTAACGTTTAACCATGAATTGTGGTTGTTATTGTTGTTATTTGACGTTGTCTAGAACTAGAGAGGTGTCTAAATAAGGGGTTAAATGTAAAAAAATCACCGTTATCCTAAAAACTAAAACTCGAAGTCGAAATGAATCATGATAATAAAAATATACTCTATATATGTCGAGACGCATTAATTGTACAAATAAGTATAATCTAATGAAAGAGAACGAACTGTAGAAACGCCGTAGAGCCAAAAAACGAAATTCTCAGTTAATTCGTACCCCCACGGCTCTTATTAATTAATTTCTAACCGGATTAATTCGAGTACCTGCACCGAGAGAGGGATCCAATTTACCCTCCCCCGTTTATTCAGATAAATATCTGTCTTACGAGAAATTAACTCCCCGTAATTCACTCATCCCTTCTAATCGCTATTTGATTAGTGACGACACACGAATATCATTCCAGGTCGATATTTCAAAGTGGATTTCCAAGGAGATAGCAGACTGGGACTAACGAAATTCGATGCACTGATGTTGGATTTGGGAAATTGATTGAAACGTTTGCGTAATCGAAGCTAGAGCGTTGTTTTTGTTAATTCTTTATAGTATCTGGAAATAGATTATAAAGGATTAAAATGAAATAAAAATAATTTATTTACATAGTTAAAAATACTCAAAACTTTCATAGACAATTCCACTTTGATAATTCTCCATACTTTTTCCGGGTTAATTATTTTCCGAACTTTCTTTTTCATGATCGTTCTCCATACTTTCGCCGCTATTTTTGGCTTCATCGTTGGCGTCTTCCTCCATCATTACTTTTTTTTCGGACCGTACGGAGCTGTCAACCGAGCTGTAGTATTGGTCAGTAAGTTCTTCGTCTTTGAAAGCTATTAGAGTTTTCCTTACTTTATTTGTTCTTATTGTTGACATCATGATCCATCTCGTTGCTGTCATAGTCCAAATTATCACAGATAATGTCATTTTGGGAATTCTCCATACTTTTCCGGATGGTTTTCCATACTTTCGCCGCTATTTTTGGCTTCATCGTTGGCGTCTTCCTCCATCATTACTTTTTTTTTGGACCGTACGGAGCTGTCAACCGAGCTGTAGTATTAGTCAGTAAGTTCTTCGTCTTTGAAAGCTATTAGTGTTTTCCTTACTTTATTTGTTCTTATTGTTGACATCACGATCCATCTCGTTGCTGTCATAGTCCAAAATATCACAGATAATGCCATTTTAAGAATTCTTCATACTTTTCCGGATGTTTCTCCATACTTTCGCCGCTATTTTTGGCTTCATCGTTGGCGTCTTCCTCCATCATTACTTTTTTTTCGGACCGTTCGGAGCTGTCGACCGAGCAGTAGTATTAGTCAGTAAGTTCTTCGTATTTGAAAGCTATTAGAGTTTTCCTTACTTTATTTGTTCTTATTGCTGACATCATGATCCATCTCGTTGCTGTCATAGTCCAAATTATCACAGACAATGCCATTTTGAGAATTCTCCATACTTTCCTGGATGTTTCTCCATACTTTCGCCGTTATTTTTGGCTTCATCGTTGGCGTCTTCCTCCATCATTACTTTTTTTCGGACCGTACGGAGCAGCTGTCAACCGAGCTGTAGTATTGGTCAGTAAGTTCTTCGTCTTTGAAAGCTATTAGTGTTTTCCTTACTTTATTTGTTCTTATTGTTGACATCACGATCCATCTCGTTGCTGTCATAGTCCAAAATATCACAGATAATGCCATTTTAAGAATTCTCCATACTTTTCCGGATGTTTCTCCATACTTTCGCCGCTATTTTTGGCTTCATCGTTGGCGTCTTCCTCCATCATTACTTTTTTTTCGGACCGTTCGGAGCTGTCGACCGAGCAGTAGTATTAGTCAGTAAGTTCTTCGTCTTTGAAAGCTATTAGAGTTTTCCTTACTTTATTTGTTCTTATTGCTGACATCGTGATCCATCTCGTTCCTGTCATTGTCCAAATTATCACAGACAATGCCATTTTGAGAATTCTCCATACTTTTCCGGATGATTCTCCATACTTTCGCCGCTATTTTTGACTTCATTGTTGGTGCCTTCCTCCATCATTACTTTTTTTTCGGACCGTTCGGAGCTGTCAAACGAGCTGTAGTATTAGTCAGTAAGTTCTTCGTCTTTGAAAGCTATTAAAGTTTTCCCTACTTTATTTGTTCTTATTGTTGACATCACGATCCATCTCGTTGCTGTCATAGTCCAAATTATCACAGACAATGCCATTTTGAGAATTCTCCATACTTTTCCGGATGGTTCTCCATACTTTCGCCGCTATTTTTGGCTTCATCGTTGGCGTCTTCCTCCATCATTACTTTTTTTCGGACCGTTCGGAGCTGTCGACCGAGCAGTAGTATTAGTCAGTAAGTTCTTCGTCTTTGAAAGCTATTAGAGTTTTCCTTACTTTATTTGTTCTTATTGCTGACATCATGATCCATCTCGTTGCTGTCATAGTCCAAATTATCACAGATAATGCCATTTTGAGAATTCTCCATACTTTTTCCGGATGGTTCTCCATACTTTGAGAATTCTCCATACTTTTACCGGATTATTCTCCAAACTTTTTTTTTTCATGGTCGTTCTCCATACTTTCGCCACTATTTTTGGCTTCATCGTTGACGTCTTCCTCCATCATTACATCTTTTTCGGACCCTTCGAATCTGTCGACCGAGCTGTAGTATTGCTCAGTGAGTTCTTTGTGTTTTTCCTTACTTTCTTGAAATATTTCTGCCGGCTGTATTGTCAAGTTTTGCTGGATGATTAGTTGATTTGCTTGTTCTGCCTCTGTTTCTGTGTTAGATGCTACTTTTGTGGGTTCATAATTCTTGGTATTATCCAAACTGTCTGTGAGAACTGTCTCGAGTATATTCTCCAAACTTTTTTTTTTTAAAAATTGGACGTACATTTGATTGCTTGTCGGTAATGGATCTTTCCTCTTAAAAGTTGTGTCTTTTGTTAGTTAAATATCGTTTTCCTGAAAAAAGGCTTTAGAAAAAACAGGTTCTTTTATTTGTCCGAAACCGAAATCTAAGGTCCTTCCGGTGGTGGAAGCTGGTGGTAGTAATAAAACAATGAATGAAAAAGTAAAGATTATAATGATGAATTATTTGAAATTACAATAATAATTATAAACAGCAAACTTTTAACGATCAACGGATCGATACTTCGATGCTAATGACAAACTGTCATACTTACAGTGTTACCAACTGTTAAGACTAGAAAGAATCTAAGAACGTTACAGTACCAATAAAAACATAATTTTAATTGTTACAACAACACTTCCGACCGTTCCTTTAGGCAGTTTAAGCCTTTTTATGGTGTTCACCTCCGTATCATATCCAGATTGAAAGCTATCAGAGTTCTCCTTACTTACTTTGTCCTTATTGTTGGCATCGCGATCCTTTTTGTTGCTATCCTAGTCCAAATTATCATAGACAATGCCACTTTGAGAATTCTCCATACTTTTTTCCGTTCTATGTAATATCTGCATTTGCTATAGTTAGCGGGTATTCTTCCCACACATGTGATAGCTGTGTCTCGGATTTTTGTGCATGATCTGGTTGAGTGATCTCCTGCGCATTTAAGACAGCGGGGTGGCCTCCCGGAGTTAGTTGTAGAATGACAATTGTGACACTGGATTATCTGTTTTGCTGATTTTCTGAGTTCCCAAATGAATCTGATGTAGAGAACTCTTCTCACCTTTTTATTTAGATAATCCAGTGTCAACGACAGGTCGGTGACGACTAGGAATAACTGTCGGTTCTTGGTGTTCATGCGGAAAATATTCCTCACTTTGATTTCGTATTCGGCTTCACTGTCATCTTCTATGTCTTGGATTTTGGTACCGTCCGCGAGCCTCTCAGCACAAATGCGTGTAATTTGTCGTGGGAGTGTAGGTATGTGTGATGTGCTATGTTTTCTTCTCTAACACTTTGAAGGACTCTGTGGTGGTCATCTTTGTCATCCACGAAAAGGATTGTGGAGTTGTTCGTGTTCTTGACACTAAATCCTCCCTTAATTTTGGCGTTGACATCCTTTATTAATACAGTTTGGTTTACTGTTTTGCCATCAACCACGATGGGGGGCATTGACCCTGATTTCTTATTAATGATGGTAGTTTGGACCTTGGGTTTGTTTGCAGCAGTGGGGGTGCGTTATCGGGTAGGTTTTCTTTATAGGGACCTTTGTCTTTAAGGGTATTTCTCCGTCTTCGCTTGACTATTCTACCTATTTCGTCGTCTAAATCGGAGTCCGAGTCGTCAGTGAGTACTGTATATTTGTTGTTGGTGGTAGTGAGCGTTTGTTTGGACTTTTTTCGGATGAGCTTTTTGAAATTTGAACTGAACTTCCTGGGGGTCTTAAATGGAAGTTGGTTTGCGTAGTACTCTCTTCGGTGTCCATTACTTGCGGTTTGGCTTTGCCTGGGCTAGGAAAAGTACTGTTAGGTTAGGTGAGCATTCTCACTTCTCTGTGAGGGCCAAGTGCCTATGCGCCCCTTTCTTCTTCCAATGTGCAATCTCCAGCGTTAAAGCGATGTATGGGATGTTGGACATGTATTTTAATCTCGCTGTTTTCCAGAATCTTTATTCGGTTACTGAAGGTGGAGGTATTACTGCCTGAGGATGTGCGTCTAGGCGATTCGAATGCAGACTTACCGAGATTTGAGCTACTCAGTTCACTCATCCTTCGGGTTGTCTTTACTCGATCGCGTTTGATTTTCTCCATACTTTTTTGTTTTAAAAGTGGATGGAGATGTTTTAGGTACGGTTCCAGTTTTGCTGGTAGAGGGTGCGTGGTGATGAAAATCGGTTCCAGTACCAAAATTTAGGGTTCTAGCCCTAGCCCCTGTTGGGATTTCAGCTCTTTTGATGGTAACCTTCGTAGGGTAATTAGATTGGGTCACGTATGCTGATTGGAAGGTTTGAGCGTGATATGTGGACCCTGTAGGGATGCTGTGGGGGTTAGATGGTGGGATAATAGCGTCAAATGAAGGGTTTTCCAAGGAGATGGGGTTAAGAATTATTTCTGAGGGAAGGGTCTCTACTTCAGGTAAGTTGTCATCAGCGTCCATGAAATCCTCAGAAATATCATCGCTGGAACTGCGACTGAAGTTAGGAGTGTTGCTTCCTGTGTTAACTAACCTTTTTTGTAAGTTCTTCTGACTTTTTTGCGGGTTCTCCGAACTTTTTTGAAGTTTCTCGTGACTTTCTTTAGTATTCTCCATACTTTCGCTAAAATTTTCCTGACTTTTTTTGATATTGTTGGTGTTTTTTAAGGAGTTAGGGTCTGTCTTTGCCTGTGTATTATTGTTCAGTGTGGCACCGATGAGAGTTAATGCTCCAGGGGGTTGGTTGTCGTTTAGTGGAGGTATTTGAATATTTTTGATAGTAACATCCATGCTCTGCTCGGAGCTAGTGGATTTCTCTAAATCCCCATAAACTTCCTCTAGAAGTCTTTGAGGGTCATGTAGAGGTCGTTCCGGGGAAAAAATTACTTTGTACCTTTTTCACATGTAAATCTACATAAAAAAATCTAAGGCCCAACCTGATCATTTTCGATACCAAAATTGCAGTGGCGTACTAGAACAATTTACCCCTTGTTAAAATTTTATTTTTATTTTAAAATATCAGTAGAGGACTAAAAAAATCCCTCTCTCTTTTACTTTGTATTTATGTTTAAAAGATTAGAAAATCAAAATCACATAATTGTTTTAAATAAGTTATTTTTCTCATATATAATTGAGCAGTTTAATTTTTTATAAATACATATTAATACAAAGTAAAAAGAAAGAGATTTTCTAGTTCTCTCCTGATGTTTTAAAATAAAAATTAAATTTTAATAAGAGGTAAATTTTTCTAGTACGCCACTGCAATTTTGGTACCAATATCAGATTTTTTCATCCTTTCATAGAGCTTGATTTTTACTAAAAATTTCGTCTTTGATTTGATTTTTTCTTTTATATTTTAACTCCCCATTTTTATTTAAATTTTTTTCAAATTCAGTGGCTTTGTTTGCTTATAGAGCTTGATTTTTCTTGATTTTTTTTATTATTATTATTATTATTTGTTTTTGATTTATCGTGGGGACAAAAAACGTAAAATCGGACGGACATAGATTACTGTGTGAAAAATATAATAATAGTCAAAAATCTTTCGTTCTCCTAACTTTCATAAAAATCTACATTAATTTGATTTTTAATACATAATCTCTAACATTCTTTAATATTTTGCG